GTATCTGAAGGATCTACTATTGTGGTCCTCTCGATTGGTGGGTCCTATTGTGAGTTTTAAAGGTGGTCTGTTGGTGAGTGAGGCCTTCCATATTATATCATTTAATATGAAGGTATTGTTGGTTGTTATAAGGTTGCAATCAAGGCTTCTCCAATTGAGAATATGTTTTGTACTGATTAAATTTCTGATAGAAGTTGTGATTGTATTGTCTAGGGTATGTCCATTCCATTCTTGTGTCTAATTCACTATGTTACTTTTAATTGGCATGCATTCGATTTCAGCTGCCTTTCCTGGTAGAGTTGCCTCTTTTGCTAGGAAAACTATTCTATCATTGTATTTGTCATTGCTATGAGTTTTGATTTTTTTCCAGATAATAGAAAGTTTTTAGTTTTCTATGATGTGAGTTATGGTATTGATTAGGTTAATATTTTTTAGTGTTCTCAAGTTGGCTGGATTCATTTGTGCCTTGTTTATTGCTCCTAGGACTGCTTGGCTATCACTATAAATAGTGATTGTATAGTTGGCAGGTGATGTTATGAAGAAAGTGAGTATTGCAGCAAGTTCTGCTCTTGTGAAGGATGGAAACTTGTTTATTTTTCCTAGGAAACAGATGTCTGGTCTTTGGGTAATGTGCCAACCAAATCCCATTTTTTGGTTTGAGTCTAAAGATCCATCTGTGTAGACTGAGATTTCATGGAGGTTTCCTATTTTGTGATGTATTGTTGCCAGTTCCTCGATTGTTCATTCTGTTATCTTGAGGTATCTTTTGATAATGGTTTTGTTGACTGTTATTTAATTGTTGAGGATGGTTGGTGGTGGAGGAAGATTCGGGTGTAAGAATTTGTCTTTGAGAATATCATAGTGGCTGTCAGGTGATATTTTAATTTTTTGGCAAAATTGTTTGGAGGATGAGTTTCTTGAGCTAGTTTTGCTTTTGTGAACTGTGATGCTAATCAAGCTGTTCTTTTCTTTGTAAAAGATATATTCTCCTTGTTTTCCTATGGTGTTCAAGGGGTATTCGTCACATTCTTTTAGGGGGGAGCAGTTGTTATTGGCTCTAATATAATATTGTAGTTTGACTGTATTCTGTTGGATGGCACATTTTCTGCCAATAACACTTGTGTTGGTTACTTGTGCTACTCAAAATTTAAGGTCAAACTGAGATAAGCAAAATTCCTTAGAAAAAAACTATTAACAAGTACTATAAGAAGATAACAAAATGACATGAGAGTGGAAAAGTTGTTTCTCATTATTAAACACACCTTTGTGATATTTTTCTATAGTATGAAATAATAAAACATTGGTTTTCTTTCTTTCAGAACTTTCTTGCCATTGATAGAAAAAATATTGTTTAATCTTTATAGTTATTAAAGGTCAAGTTTTTGTTTAAAGATGATAGTAAGCAAGATGAAATAAAGTAGTTTATGACTCTTAAATCTTCTTAAAATTGGTTTAAGGAAAGTAATAAAATTTTATTAGCTTAAAAGTATAAAATTTTCTTGCAAACTTCTTTTTTATATATATTTAGAGAATCAATGAAAAGAGCTAAGATATTATTATTATTATGATAAGAATTATTTTAATACAATTTAATACTATATATTATATTATATATTATATATTATATTATATTTGTATTATATTACAATTTGAAATTATATAGTATATTATACTATATATTATTTATTATATTATACATATTATACTTGTATTATATTATAATTCAAAGTTAAAATTTTACAAAAAAACTCCTTCTACTAATTCTCTAACTACACATAAAAAAGTTGTTTGCAAGAAGTTTTTATATTTTTTGCTAATAAAGTCTTAACACTTTTATTAAAACAACTTGAAGTATGACTTCAAAAATTGCTCTACACTTTTCCTCTTGCTTATAATTTTTTTCACTCAAAAACTTGTCTTCTAGTGACTAAGAAAAGAAAGTAATACTTTTGATACCAATGGCAAGAAAGTTTCCAAAGGAAGAAGAACCAACTGTGAAGTACTTAAAAAAAGGTCTTTTGAACCTTTAAAGCGAAAGGTGTATTGAGGTTTTTTGTAGCAAAAAGACTTATTTTCTTTTTTTTTGACTGTCTATGCCCTCTTAAAATTTTTACTTTCACAGTTTTCTAAGGAATTTTGCCTATCCCAGTTTGATCCTGAATTTTGGATAGTACAAATTTTCATCAAATATAATTTGCTGACATAAAATACATTAATTTTTAAAATGTAAACAAGCTCTTATTGATCATACTCATATGTTTCAATGATATTATTGGTGATTGAAAAGAAAAGTCATTGAAAAAGTTACTTTCCAACTGAGCAAGTTTTTAAGAAAGATAGTTATGATACCAAAAAACAAGTGAAGAATATAAAATATGGTATCCCTATCCCTTAATCAAGTCTTTCAGGTGGTGAAAAGGCTTTTTCAGAAAGAAAGATGAGGTTTCCAAGTTTCTTTTATTAAATAATAAAGAGTATTAAAATATTATAATAATAATATATAATAATTACTATATTACAAAAAATATAAATATGTTATTAAAAAATATGCAAGTTATTTATATATCAAATAGATATTTTTATAAAATATGATCAACTCCTTAATTTCACATATTTCGATTAAACTGTTTTGATAAATAATATTGATTAACTCAAATCAAAATAAACAATAATTCATATTTAATTAAAGTAAACTATAATATATATTTGATCAAAATACAATATTATACAAAAATAAATAACTTAATTTTTTGTTATATGTAATTCAATATGATTATGAAAAATAAGTTGATATAAATTATGAAAAAAGGAAAGTAATATTACTATTAAATAAATAGAATTAACAATTAATGCTATAAACCATACAAACTATTCACAGTATAGCATCTATTATAAATAATATCTCAAATAGGACTATAGAATCAAACAGGTACTTGATCTTAAATATTATTATTGTTAAAATTCTAAATAAAATTATAGTTCTTAAATAATATATTTTTTATTTATAAGTTTAGAAGTAAGAAAAAGAAGAAGATCTTTAACTTCTTTTCTAAAAAACAAATATTTTTTTAAATCTTCTATCAGTCTAGGTATATATGCTTTATTAAATATATGTATACTTTATATTAATAATATACCACTAAAGCTAATTTTCTACCTAACTCACTCATCTCTATTTTAAGAATTAATAAAACTTTAAGTATAACTTTGAAAAAGATTTATCACTTAATTAGCAGTTTAGGTAAGATTCTTTCAACTGTTGACTTCATTACTACTGCAGATCACTTTGCAATGTTCTGACAAAGCTTAAAACCCAACTATTTCATTCTATACTTTATTTACTCTTATTGTTAAAATTTCTCAAAAGCTTTTATCTTTGATATTTCCTTCTTCAGGTAGTAGATTTCTTTTTTTCAGAGTTATAGTTTTTTGACCTGATAGGCAAGTAAATATTTTTGTCTTGTCTTCTTTATTAATTCCTTGTATTCATTCCTATTCAATTACCTTTTTACATCTCTTGTTCCAGACTTCTTTTCAGACTTAGTTACAGACTCTTTTTTACATTTTTATTATTCACTTTCTTACTATTCTTTATATATATTTATCTTGATATTTTAGATCTGCTATTTCTAGAATAAGCTCAGTTTTAATAAGACCAGTACAGAAACTTAATATATTTTGACTAGTTCCAGAAGTGTGTTTAACTACTTTAGTAATTTACTTGTTAAACTCTTCTATTTCTTTACAGTCATCAATAACCAATCTAGAATTTTTCTTTTTGATCTTTTTCTTTCTTTCCCATAATAGTTCTTTAAAGTTTCTAATGATTCTATCTACTTATTTATTCCATACCTTTTGTAGCTGGTTTTTATATGCTAAACATTTTAACAAGTGTTCTATAGTTTCCTTATGTTGACTACATGTGATATATTTAACTTGCTAGTATAAATCTGATCTTCTTATAGCCAACTTACTTAAGATAATAGCTCATTACTGACCAGTTTAATAAGAAAGTTTCTTTATTAGAATTGTTTAAAAAATATATCCCACATGTATTTATCTTTAATTCTTTCCTATACTAAGTTCCATATGTGAGTCTGATATTCTAAAATTTGATAACTCCTTTTTTTCTCTATTCTGTTTTGTTGTGCCACTGATAGGCTGTTGTCTTATTATTAATATTTTTAATGAACTGCCTAATTGGATCATCTAGAGTTGTTCTTTGTCACCTAATTTCAGTAATAATTTTGTGTGAAGTGTTATTTTTCCATTCAATAAGTGAAAATTTTAATGCTTTCTTAGCTAAGGTATCCAATTCTTTATTATAAGGGTCATTTGAATGTGCTTTAACTTTTGTAAGCTTTAGATCTATGGTTTTCTTTTTTATTAACTCTACCATGCATACCCATAGGGACCAATTTTTTTCTTTGAGCTATCTCGTGTATCCTTTTTGGGTCTTCTTTTTTTAAAGATTTCTACTTAAAAATATATGTTTGACTATCTGTAAAGATCTCCACCATGCTTTCAATTGGAACTACCAGGAGTATGTCGTGCCAGTCTGTGAATTCTGGTATAGAATATATGTCCTTGTAATAAGATTTTAATGTAAAGGTTTGTCAGCCAGATTAGTGCTTTCAGTTCAAGATGTTTGTAAACCAAATATGATATATTGTTAGCCTGGTGCTGATTTAAAGCTTCAATCTTTTATCACTTTTTTCAATTCTTGGGTAATGATCTGTTCAATTAGTTTGTCATACCAGATGTTTTAAATCTCCTATTTTAATGCATATTGCCTTGTTTACCTAAGGGAGCTGTCTATTGGTATGATCTTTCTGAGATGGGTCCATGTTGCAAAATGTTCTGAGGCTTTTCTTTTTATTTCTTCTGGGTCTGTGATTATCTCTATATGATCATCTTTTTTCACGATGAGTTTGTCTGTTACTATATATCTATTAGGTCACTCCAGAATACTGTTTATTCTTATTTTTTTCTTGTCTACGTCATATTTTCTTTGACTTTTTTCCTATCGTGAGAACATAGTATAAGGATTAAAGAGTGTCGTGTGTTTTAAAAAAAAGTTTTTCATATCAATGAAAACTACATATGCAAATATTATACGCGATTGTATGCCTAAAATAAGTCTGCTTTAACTTTCTTCTTACAATTTTGTAGCAATAGAATTCCTTTGGTTACATAATAAATTTGATGTCACGACATATGATATTTAAACTCTGTTTCTACTGGATCATATGATCGTGTTATAATACGACTGAAGCCTAAAGACACAAGAAGATAACCTCTTAATTGAGAGGATCCACTTTTAACCACGACCCTCGAATCCAAAACACCCGAATCAGTATAATTTTCCGGACGCCCTCTTCCAATTATCTCGATATATTTTTCTAATTGCTGGTACCCATCGTCTAAAATGCCAGTCAGCTCCTTCGATACTGGACTATTATGTTCTCGTGACCAATACATGTATTTGCGTTGTAACAGCTTTTCTTCACTCTCCCTTCCGATAACTTCATCCAACGTTTTCAGACTACTTGCATCTGGGTTCTTTATCCAATGCCCTCGTTCTCCACTTAAAAGACCAGCGATTGTAAGGTATTTGAGTTCTAACACAACATTCGATGTTGACTCGGCTCCATTTTCAAGGACAAATATATCCACATAACCAAAACGCCCATCGCCATATTGTCTCATCCCATTCATCACTAGACGAAACTCACAAATGCGAAATGATGAGGGAAGAAGAACTTCAAGGGTTGCTTGCATCACGGCTTCACTTGCAGTTTTCAACGACATAACTGATCTGCTTTTGAAAAATTTTTCGACAAGTCTCGCCAGCGGATCTATGTTGCCGCGTATAAGCTCGTCATATGCAGGAATTCTTTTTTGAAAAAGATCTCTATTGGAGCTTATATAGTCCAGAATTCGGGTTATAACCTAAGTTTAAGATGCCAAAACATTTTTTTAGGATCCTTTTTTGCTACATTCGTATAAATAAAATAAAAACGCGTACGTACTTCATTCCTTGTTACGTGATTAGGGATTATTAAATCTCCTTTATTGTTACGTGTCAATATTCCAAAATAATACAAAAAAGACCACGTGATTCTTCGTTGATAAGCCAAATCTTGTTCTCCATTCCTGAGGAAATCGGCATAATTAAAATTATCTTGAAGTCTTTCAGATATCATCTCACCCGCCAGAAGTGTGAGAAGATCATCAATGGAAACTGGACTTAGATCAGCGATGCACGCGAGTATCTTTGTGGAATTTACTGCTGTTGGTTCAAAAGTTTTGAAAACATGATTGCCGCTTCGTCTTTCTCGCAAATAATGAAAAACCAGATGGATATTATATATGGATGGGATGCCAACATCAAATTTGGTATTGACAAAATTATATCCGAAATACAGCCGTTTGATGTCATCCGTTGCATCGTTTATAGCCTCAGTATCGTTTCCTAAATAACATGCAACTATTGACTGCACTTCTTGTTGAGTAAATCCGCAAATTCCGGAGAATTGCCGTCTCTCCGAAATGTCCTCCAATATAAGAAGCGGACTAACCCCTGTACGGAATGCTGGGGTAACTCCGGTAACGTATAATTTATCGATAGTGCCATCAATGCATCCCTTTTTGAGTATCGCGAAAAAATTCATATTGAAAAATTGCTCGACCTTAATAACATGATCACGTGATTCCTATCGAGTATGCCGAATTCATGTTTGAATGCACAGTTTCTACTTGGAGCATCATACTCGTCAATTCCTACAAAGAGTTTTAGAGTCGTTCTTGCTGCAATGGTCTTTACAACATTAAAATGTATTAGATATCAATGTGTAAAAGAAAGACAAATATTAGTGCTAATATAACTCACCATAATAATTTTGTTAAGAGATACAGCGGCTTGCTTGAAAATCAATTCTTTCATGTCTGGTTGTCCCAACTCTTCATCATATTTTTGAATAAACATTTGCAATGCAGTGTTAATGTGCTCATTAAAATTTTTCTTCATTGAATGAGCGGAAGAGACATCAATAAACGAGAGATCAAAATTAAGAACCAAACACTTATTTCGTGAATTGGTAGGATACTGCCCAATATAAAGTGGACCAAAGAGCAAAGAAAATTTATCCGCGTTCTTTACATCGTAATATTGACGTAACGTATCTAGAAATGTTGATTTTCCAAATCGACGTGGTCTAAGGAGAAGAACCTTAAAGCTTGAAGTTTCCTGTTCCAATTTCTCAATATATATGGTTTTATCAACAAACAACATTCCCTTCTCAGAACGGAAACCCATGAAACTCGGGTTGCAGTGTGGAATTCTTGTCTAAAAAAAAAAATAGGTGCATAAAAATGAATAATTCATTAACCTTATAAATACATTCCCGACGGATTTTAATAATACCATTCTTGTTTCTTCATTTTTTGAGATCACCCTAAAAGTTGTTCCTTCCAAGGATTCAATATCAAGAATTTTTTCATTTATAAACTTTGTCTTCTTTAAAATTTTTTCACCATCATTATCATCCAAACATATATTACGCCGTCTTTTTCTCGTCAAAATTTCTGGTAAGTTTGATTGCTTGGATTTTGTGGTCATTGGCAGGACCAGATGTTTTACACGCTGTCTCGTGATTTCATCTAGAATCATATACGCTTTTACCACATCTACTGCTTTATTCACGTCAGAAACTGTGACAGCATGATCCCATGGTTCACGTGTTTCTGCAGTATCGAACTTTAATGAAACAACAAAAGTGCAATTACGTACTTAATAGGGTAAATTCAATATCACAGATCATCACAGATCGACTTACCTTAAAAGCTTTTGTACAAAGTTATGAAGTACCGGAGAAGCTTCTTGATCCTTACTTATTTCTTTCAAGGCCTTATAAAATGTGCGGTATGATATCTCTTTGTCCAAGTTATTTTCGACTGTCCAATTAACAAAATGCCTTAATGACCAGATCTCATAAGGATAAGTTTTGAAATATTCAATTCCAGGATGATCCCAAGTCATATTATTTTGATCAATACCCAATAGTGTAATATATAATTCTAAGATTTATAACTTAAAGAGTGTTTGGATATTACAGAAAAAAAACTAAATAATAGAATTGTGTAATAGATTAAACTATTCAGGATCAGCTAAAACCACAACAATTATTAGACTCAAGCAAGCACAAGTCAAATACTGGAAGCCTGTTAACATGCTTATATATAACTTATTAAACAATATTTCAGGAAAAGGTAACTTCTCACTGCGAGTATTGAAACTGATCAAGGACATAGGCATGACCTTTCAAAGCTAGAAATGGAATGACATTTTTTAATGGAACCAAAAAAATAGTTCAATTAGAAAACACTTGCTAATAGAAGAGTATAGAAAAGCAATTCTATTACTCAGAAACAATAAATTAATGTATATGGATCAGCTAGTCAACTATGAATACAAAACTGACGAATGCTCCAACTGTTACAAAAAACAATCAAAAGACCTATTTCAAATGGTATATATCTATAACTGAGATAATGCAAGAAAATAAATTAAAACAACTTATAGAATCCTGAAAAGAAGAATGGATAAAATGGAGCCTGAAACTTTCTATTCTTAACATCAATTTTGACAAATGACAGAAACTCTAGATGGTTACAAAAAGTAAATTTAAATAGCAACAGATAATTTAGGAAAAATTGATTCTAGATAATACTTCAAGACAGTTTAATATAGAGTAATTCAAATATATAAGCCTTATTAAAAATTAAGAATCAAAGCTAGCCCAGTATCAAGACTGCATGAAAAGTATAAAAATAGAAAACCAATGTATAATCGAAACAAGTATAGAGAAAATACATATAGTCCCCTATCTCAATACAAAAAAGTCCATCAGAAGATCTCAATCACTGAAAATTCTAAATTCCAAAGAAGCATCGAAAAGTATTATATGTAAAACAATATATAATAACCAAGTAGTTATCTAGAACAAAAGAGTACTACAGATTGAATAGAAGATTGAAAAACAAATATTATCAAAGATCATATTGAAAAAGATGTTTATCAATTCATCTGATTGAAATACGCAACCGCAATAAGCAAAGAAAAGAACCAATGATATTCTACTCTAATGGGTCCCTTATAAATTACAAAGTATAAATATGAGAATGGGAATATCATGGATATAAATAGGAGAAGCAAGAAGAGAAAGCTAGTTCAAACTGGAATAGAGGATTGACTTTTATCCACTAGAATAGAATTAGTAGCAATAATTACTATACTACTAGTAGTTCCAGTAGATAATAAGATTGAAATCTTTATAAATAGTCAAGCCTGCATCTCAAAGTAGAAAACTATAGAAAAGAAAGACTCCAGAATGACCTACAAAAGATGATTAAAAGAACAAAACTGGTTCTTGTGGATACATATACTGGATCTCATAAAGAAAAAGAAACTGAATTTCAAGTTTACCAAGATTAAGGCACACTTTATTATCCAGTATAATGAAGAGGTAGATGCTCTGATCAAGAAGCACTAAGATTTCCAATGATAAAATAAAAAAAGTTGGTCTCATCCAAAATGATTACAGAAATTAAATATCAGGATATAATATTAAATACCCCTATAAGACAAGCTATTAAAAATTAATAACAAAGTAACAACTTACCAATGAACAACTTAAGATAAAATCGAAAGAAGATAGGACTAGAAAATTCAAGATATACAGTATATGAGATCTGATATAGGAATATTTTAAGAAAGAATATATATGAAATATCTCATTTAAAAGCTCACAAAACAAAAGTTTTCTTACTATATTAACCAATGATGAACTATCAACACTAATGAAGCCGATAATAAGAAGACCAGATCTTTATAAACAAGTAAAATGTATTATGTGTAACTAGGAAAAGAAAATGAAAGAATACTTGATAGAATGTCTAGTTTATAAGACTCAATGGAATAAGACATATCAAAAAGGAATAGAAGAAGTTTTGAAAATATTCAAAAAGCTCTTAAAAGAAAAAAAAACTGAATCAGAAGATAAAGAGTTAAACTTAAGAATAGATAATAGGATAAAAATAGAAAAAATTGATAAACTGATAGCAAGGCTGGTAGAAAGAATCTCAGAAACCAGTCAGAATATACTTAGCTTCTGTATGGAACCAATAAAGAAAGAACTAGTTATCAAAATAGTGGATTTGATATGTTATGACAAGATAATCAGAAAAAAAGCAAGAAAATTAATAATAAAGATGCAAGAAAAAGTACATAATCACTTCTAAAAGAAAATATGAAATGTAAGATAGGAAAAGGTGATTGAATAAGAATAGAAATCAGAAATCTACAAATACATCAAGATAAAAAGCCCATCATATCTACAAGATCAGAAAAGAAAGAGCAAAAGTACAGAAAGTTAATTCAGTGAGAAACTGATATATGAAGAGAAAAAAATCGAAGACAGAAGTTGAAAGAAATTCTATTAAATGGAGTGAAGTATAGTATGAAGTGATTGGGATTTTGATATTTATCAGAGCTCAAAAGAGTAATCTGCAGTAGTAACCTGTGGGCAATAATATTAGAAGTTGGAAGGAATTTTACCTGAACCTTTAATGGAGTGATAAATTATTTCTGAAGTTGCACTTAAGAGATAATTCAATCAAAATGAGTGAGTTAGTTAGATTTAGCTTTGGCATTTTATTTAATAAGTATAGCTTACAAATGTTTAATAAAGATACATAACTAATTTAACAGAGGGTTTTTTTAAAAAAAAAACAATATTTACAGTATGATTTCAAGAATATTTTGGTGACAACTCTACTAGTTAGTAATTATACTATATATCACTACTGACAAGAATAACAATAGATAATCTATTAAGAAATTAAGTTCAAGAATAACAAAGAACAAAGGAAAAGAAAGTTATTAACTTGGTTATTCAACAGTAAAACAATGAGAAAAATTTAAATATGAATAAAACTTTGACTCTTTGAATTAGATTTATAGTTTCTTGCTTATAAATCAGAAAATAATCTACAAGAACTTGATAATACTTAATTCAAGCTTGAAATAATAATTATTAAAGGTGCTTATAAATATCTAAAAGAAAAGAATTTATATTATCCCAATAAAAAAGCCACAATAGAATCAATAATTTGAATAAAAGTCTTCGTTATCTATAGAGAAATCAACAAAATTCTCTTTATTTTTAAAAAAGTATAGGCAGGCTAGGATTTAGCAATTTTACAAAACATAGAAATTTGTTCATAATTTATAAGATCTACTGTATATAAAGAAGTTTTTGGTAAAAAACACATTATATCTCAGAAATCAAAAGAAATTTTAAAGAAATTTAAGATAATTATTACAATAAAATACATCCTTAGAACTAGTGATTACAATTTTGATCTGAATCTGATTAATCTGTAAATCAGATACGAATCAGATCAAATCAAATTTCAAAATTTTTAATCTAATCAGATTTAGATCAAATTGAATTTTAAATTTACAAAATTATTGAATTCAAATCATATTTGGATCAAATCTGATATGATTCAAATTAGATATGCACCAGTCTATATAAATTGTTATATAATTATTTAATTTCATTTAAATTGAACTATCTAGAAAATTAAAATAGATTTTTTTTTAATAATAATATAAAAGACAAGTTAAAAAAAATACAATACTTGCTTTTCTTGATGATTTTTTAAACATTTCTTTATGATATTATAGTTTTACTGCTTAATTACTTTCATTATATTCTTTGCTTTTGCTAATTTATTTCTTTTAAAATGGAACATGAAAACTCATTTGATAGCATATAATTTGTATACAATAAAAATAGCAGTTTAACTAGCCATGACAATATTGATATTGAAAATGCTAATATAAGCAATCCATTGGAATCAGTCTCAATTACCTCAATAATTTTTAGAAGTAAAGTATAGAAACATTTACGTAACAAGAAGTGTAAGTTTTAAAAAGGACAAAAAGGCTACCTGTAAATATTGCAGAACTATATATACTTGTAGTAGAAACAGTACTTCTAATCTTATAAACCATCTTAAAAAACTTATCTAGCAAAATTAAATTTAATAACTAGCAATACTAAAATTATTAATTTTTTTAAAACAAAAATAATTTCAAATAATTATAAATTTAAAAAAAAATAATTTTAATTTTTTGTATTTATATATAATGGATATATAACTCAACAAAAATGAAAAAAAACTTGTTCAATGGATTGTTATAAACTAGAAACCTTTTACAGTTGTTCAAGAACCAGTTTTTTTTGCTTTTATACAAACATTAGTACTAGATATAAAAATATCATCAGTTACTTCTATTAAGACCTGTATAATGAATTATTATTTAAATGATCAAGAAAAAATTTAAAAGATATTATAAGAAATAAAAAGTTATATTTAATTTATACTTGATATTTGAAAATTGGTTTCAATAAAAATATTTTTAGGTATAACTATCCATTTTATTGATAAATATTGGAGAATGCAGAGTATAATAATAGACTTTGTACAGCTATGGAGTACTCATTTGAGTAAAAGTATTAAAGAAGCATTTTTATCATGTTTAAAGAAATTTATTTATATATTTAAAAATAGATATAATATAAGACTAAAATAGTTTGTTTAATTTTAAAGATATTGGAAATTACAACTAATAATATTATAAATAATGTTATATTTGCTAAATGATAAAAGAGTGGAGTAAAATTTAAGCAATATATTTTAGTATAATAGAAAACTATTTATGATATTTTATACATATTATTAATTTAAATATACAAGAAGCTTTAAATATATTAGAAAAAAATCTAAAACAAATAAGCTTATACAGTATATATAGTATATGGTTTTTTATATTTATTAATTTATTTATATATAGTTATGAAAACTGGTTATAAAAATATGATCAT